ATTTATGTAATGCCATCATCCCCCTCAGACTCAGAAAAGGGGGAAGGGGTGCTCTGCACATGCCCTGAAGTTTGCTCACAAACTTTCCTTCTTTTCCCCATGATTTTTCTTTCCACCCTCTTCCTCCATTAGTTCTCTTTTCCAGTGTTTGCTTTGGTTCTTTCTAAACTCTCTCTCTCTCTCTCTCTCTCTCTCTCTCTCTCTCTCTCTCTCTGGGCCCTTCCACACAGCCATATAACCCAGAATATCAAGGCAGAAAATCCCACAGTATCTGCTTTGAATTGGGTTATCTCTGTCCACACTGCCATATATTCCAGTTCAAAGCAGATAATTTGGAATTTTATTCAGCTGTGTGGGAGGGACCTCTGTGTGTGTGTGTGTGTGTATTATACTATGTCTTGCTTTTTGCTCTTGATTGAGAAACAAAACAGCTTACAACATTTTAAAAATGCAGTTTAAAATCCACAACTTAGAATCACAGAATCATAGAGTTGGAAGAGATCTCATGGGCCATCCAGTCCAACCCCCTGCCAAGAAGCAGGAAAATTTAATGAGCAGTGCAAGTCGTCAGTAGCTCATTGACTGCCATTGTGGTGAAGGTTAAATATGAGTGTACTCATTCCATTTCCCTTCTGTCTGTCTCCTTCATGACAATGCATGTCCACACACCACTCATGCAGCCCAAGAGTTGTTGACTTCATTTGGTTGGGATGTTTTAAGCCACCCCTCTCGGAGCCCTGATCTCGCACCCAGTGACGATCATCTGTTCACTAAATTGAAGGAACACTTGGGTGGAAAACACTTTTCTGATGAGGACGAGGTGAAAATTGAAGTGATGAACTGGCTGAAAAAGGCAGCAGGAGACTTCTATGACACAGGTATCAAAAAACTTGTGGCATGGATGACAAAATGTACTGAACTGAATGGTGATTATGTGGAAAAGAGTACAAACAATGTAATACCTATGCTATAATCCATGTAAGTCTTATTAAAATCTATTCATTCTTTGTATTTTTAAAAAAATCTTGTAACCTTACTTTCTGGATATCCCTTGTACACACACACACAGTAATAACAGTAATACGAGGGTTGAATAAAAAGTAAAGCCTCCACCTTTGTAACTCCTCAACAGATGGCAGTACTGGTATGCGGCAGGTACTGGCTTGTTCAGTAGACTCTTCTCTACAGTTCCATTTTGGCAGGAAGCCTTAGCATTGAATGGTTTCATTGTTAAAGTGCAAAGTATGGAACCCTGCGCAGATGGTCGGTCAATGCGACTTAAGCAATGTGCAGTCATTGAATTCTTGACAGCAGAAGGTGTCACCCCAAAGGGGATTCATCAGAGAATGCAAGCTGTTTATGGTGATTGTGTTGATGTGATTACTGGGCATCGTTGAGAAAGAAAGTTTAAAGATGTTGATTCAGGATGATCGTTGTATCACTCTGAGAGAAATTTCAAGCATTATCGGCATTTCACAAGAACGTGTGGGTCACATTATTGCTTTGCTTGGCTATTGGAAGATCTGTGCACGATGGGTTGCAGAAACAGAGTGTTGACTTCTTCCATGAGGGCTTCAGAAAACTTGTTCATCATTGGCAGAAATGTATCCAATTGTCTGGTGATTATGTGGAAAAGCGAATAGTGGTAGTTAAAGAGCACATTCTAAGGATTATTTCTGCTTTTGATTTATTAAAATATTCCCATCCAAACCTGGCATTACTTTTCATTCAGCCCTCGTACAAAAGGAGCCGTGAGAATTTTATAACACAATTAAATATCTGTGTCTTCTACCCAATCAATTTTAACTTTGGTGATAGTATGATAGCTGGGTCTGGAGGTTCCGAACATTACGAAGATGCCGCAAAGGCAGCTGTGGATAAGGGAAGGGGGTGGGCAGAGTGAGAGCAGGGAGAGCGAAGAAAGGATAGAAAAGAGGATAGAAAGGAGGGGACACTTAGGCCAAGGTTTAGGGTTTGGGTTAGGGTTAGGGTTAGGGTTAGGGTAAGGGTTAGGGGTTAAGGTTAGGGGTTATGGATTAGGGTAAGGTTTAGGGTTTGGGTTTGGGTAAGGGATTAGGCTTAGGCTTACGGTAGGGTTCAAAGTTAGGGTAAGGGTTTCACCATTAAAGAACTCTTACATTCCTTCTATATTATCTGTCTCCAGCTTGGCTTACATTAGCTAAGTCACTCTTACATAAACAGCATTCCCAAAGGAGCAATGCAGCATCTCGGTAATGCTCGGAGCTTCCGGACCCAGCTATTGTACTATTTCCTTATCGGACAGATGACAAGCTGTTTAACCTCAGCAGACTGAAAGCCAAAACCAAAGTTACAACAACACCTATTATAGAACTCCAATATGCCAATGACAACATCATCTGTGCACATTCAGAAGGCCTACAAGCCACTCTAAACACCTTTGCAGAAGCATACAAGAAGCTTGGCCTGTCATTGAACATCGAGAAAACCAAAGTGCTCTTCCAGCAGTCACCAGTCAATCCCTCTCCAATGCCAGAAATACAGCATAATGGTGTAACATTAGAAAATGTTGACCATTTCCGCTATCTTGGCAGCCACCTCTCCACAAAAGTCAACATTGACACTGAAATACAAAACTGCCTGCCTGAGCTCTGTGAGTGCAGCATTTTTCTGAATGAAGCAGAGAGTGTTTGAAGACCGGGACATCTGTAGGGATACCAAGGTGCTTGTTTATAAAGCTATTGTCCTCCCAACCCTGCCTGTGAGTCATGGATTATCTACAGATATCACATGCAACTCCTAGAACGATTCCATCAGCGTTGCCTACAAAAAATCCTGCAAATCTCTTGGGAAGACAAGTGGACAAATGTCAGCGTGCTGGAAGAAGCAAAGACCACCAGCAGTTGAAGCGATGGTCCACCGCCATCAACTCTGCTGGACAGGCCATGTTGTCCGGATGCCTGACCACCATCTCCCAAAACAGTTGCTCTATTCCGAACTCAAGAATGGAAAACGGAATGTTGGTGGCAGGAAAAGAGATTTAAAGATGGGCTCAAAGTTAATCTTAAAACTCTGACATAGACACTGAGAACTGGGAAGCCCTGGCCCTTGAGCGCTCCAGCTGGAGGTCAGCTGTGACCAGCACTGCTGTAGAATTTGAAGAGGCACAAATGGAGGGCAAAAGAGAGAAACGTACCAAGAGGAAGGGGCGTCAAGCCAACCCCGACTGGGACCGCCTTCCACCTGGAAACCAATGACCTCACTGTGGGAGAAGATGCAGATCAAGAATAGGGCTCCACAGTCACCTACGGACCCACCACCAGAACACCGATATTGGAGGACCATCATCCTTCCTGGAGGGTCGATCCCAGATGGTGAAGCTGGGAGACACCTGCTCGGACCCCTGGCCTTTGACCTGTGGGGTCCCGCAAGGCTCTATTCTGTCTCCCATTCTTTTTAACATCTACATGAAACCGCTGGGAGAGGTCATCCGGAGTTTTGGAGTTGGATGCCACCTCTATGCAGATGACACACAGCTCTACTACTCTTTTCCACCTAATTCCAAGGAGGCCTTCCGGGTCCTGGACGAGTGCCTGGCCGCTGTGTCTATCTGGATGAGGAGGAACAAGCTGAAGATCAATCCCGACAAGACAGAGGTCCTCCTGGTCGATCGTAAACCTGACTGGGGTATAGGGTGGCAACCTGTGTTGGACGGGGTTACACTCCCCCTGAAACCACAGGTCCGCAGTTTGGGTGTCCTCTTGGACTCATCGCTCACGCTTGAGGCTCAGGCATCGGCGGTGTCTGGGAGGGCTTTTGCACAATTAAGACTCGTGCGCCAACTGCGACTGTACCTCGCGAAGGCTGATCTGGCCGGGGTGGTCCATGCCTTGGTCACCTCTAGATTGGATTACTGTAATGCGCTCTACGTGGGGCTGTCCTTGAAAACGGCTCAGAAATTTCAACTGGTCCAACGGGCAGCGGCCAGGATGTTAACTGGTGCTCCTTTCAGAGAGAGGTCAACCCTTCTGTTCAAGGAGCTCCACTGGCTGCCCTTTATTTTCCAAGCCCAATTTAAGGTGCAGGTGCTTACCTACAAAGCCCTGAACGGTTTGGGACCCTCCTACCTGCGTGACCGCATCTCCGTCTATGAACCCACGCGTTCACTTAATTCATCTGGAGAGGCCCTGCTTGTGATCCCGCCTGCATCGCAAGTGCGTTTGGTGGGGACACGAGACAGCGCCTTTTCTGTGGTGGCCCCCCCGACTCTGGAACACCCTCCCCAAAGATCTTAGACAGGCCCCCACGTTGGCAGTCTTCAGAAAGAACTTAAAGACCTGGCTGTTCCGATGTGCCTTCCCAGAATAGGAATCTCCAATACCAAGTCCCAGAAGCACTTTATTAGAATTAAGATTGCCGCACACTGCACACTGCACTTACCCGATAATCCTTACACATCACCTGTCACATCAGCACTTTTAATTCTGTACCCTTTACTCTGGCCTGGCCCAGTTTTATTGTGTTTTGGTGTATTGTTTATTGCTTGTTGTTTTGTTATTTAATATTGCTTTAATTGTTTTTAATTTGCTTTAGGTTTGTATTGTTATGTTGTGTATTGAGACCTTGGCCTTTGTAATCCGCATCGAGTCCTTCGGGAGATGCTAGCGGGGTACAAATAAAGTTAATAATAATAATAATAATAATAATAATAATAATAATAATCCTCGGACTACGAGGGATCACTAAGCAAGTACTATTACCTTCACTTCTGCATTTAAATATAGTACAAATGAGTTTTAATGTGTTTTAAGCGTGTGTCTCTTTTAATGTGTGTTTTAAAGATCATATATATAAGATCATATATATATAAATTAACCCTTCCTTTTCTCTTTGGAAAGGGTGGCAACCCCTCCCTGGAGGCTGGAGGAGAAAGCAAGGGGCCTGCCGGGCGCTGATTGGCTCTCCCGACCTGGGGTCTCGTCCACTGGGTGCCCGTGGAGACAAAAAGGCGGCGCGCCCGCTCCTCCTCTCGCCCCGCGCGCGGACCCTTCGGAGGCCAAGATGGGGCAGGAGCAGGAGCAGGAGCAGGAGCAGCGCCGCCGCCGCCGCCGCCCCAGAAGCCCGGCTCCCACCCCAGCCCGGCAGCGCCCGCCCACGCTCCCCTTCCTCCTCTTGCTCACCTGCCTTGGCACCGGGCGGGACGCCGCCTCAGGTAAGCCAACGTCGGGCAACCCCCAGCAGAGGGTTTGCTCGGCATGACTGGGTCGGAGACGTTTGCCATTGGAGCCGAGAGAAGGCGACTTCCCTGCCATGCTTTAGAGAGGAAAGTGGGAAGGGAGGCGGACAAGGGGGACTGGGGTCCCCACCACCATCTCCTCCTCCTCGTCCCTTCATTTCTTTATTTGCCTGGAAAACTTTGGAAAGAGTACAGATAAAACAACAAGGGGAGGGTTTCGGGAGAGGTAGCAGCACCTCTAAGTTTGTTACCACGGCAAGGCCCCTGTTGAGATAATGATGCCCGGAAAACTAGAACATGGCCATATAGCCCGAAAAACCTACAACAACCTAGCTGTTCCTCTGTTTTCGCATTGACAACTTCCCCTGTATTGTCGAAGGCTTTCATGGCTGGAATAATTGGATTGTTGTAGGTTTTTCGGGCTATAAGGCCATGTTCTAGAAGCATTCTCTCCTGAATGTGACCTCACAACCTCTGAGGATGCTTGCCACAGATGCAGGCGAAACGTCAGGAGAGAATGCTTCTAGAACATGGCCATATAGTCCGAAAAGCCTACAACCACCCACCGAAAACTTCCCCTGTTTGGCTTTTGTGCTCCAGGGTGGAAGCAGGCTGTAAGCATGAAGGCTTCTGCGCACAACGCTGCCTTGTTCCTCCAAGTTCCACGATCTATCCCAGGTTGCCTTCTCACTGCGCAGTTCTATCACTCCCATTCCATTTGAACTGCCAGGAGTGCCTTCTACCCAACCCAGGGGTTTGACATTTGCTTATTTATTCATCATGTCAGAAGCAAGTTGAGGGTACAGTTAAAATGTATTTAAAAACAGAAACAAAGTTAAAAACTTGGCGTTATACTAAATATCCTTTGACCAGTATCTGGCCACTTGGAGTGCCTCTGGTGTCGCTATAAGAAGGACCTCCACTGTGCATGTGGCAGGGCTCAGGCTGCATTGCAGGAGGTGGTCTGTGGTTTGCTCTTCTCCACACTCCCATGTCGTGGACTCCACTTTGTGGCCCCATTTCTTAAGGTTGGCTGGGCATCTTATGGTGCTAGAGCTCAGTCTGTTCCTCGCCTTCCAGATCGCTCAGCCTTCTGTGTGCCCAGGAGAGTTTCTCATCCGATCCCAGCCACTGACTGAGGTGCTGAGTTTTAGCCTGCCTCTTTTGGACTCTCACTTGCTGAGGTGTTCCTGCGAGTATCTCTGCAATAATAATAATAATAATAATAATAATAATAATAATAATAATAATAATAATAATAGGATTTAAAAATCGAACTCCAAAGACTCTGGCTCAAACCAGTAAAGGTGGTCCCAGTGGTGCTCAGCACACTGGATGCAGTGCCTAAAGACCTTGGCCTGCACTTAAACACAGAGGCGGCCCTAGGTAATTTTCAACAGTAAGCAAACAGTATTTTGCGGCCGCCTCCCCCCCCAACCAATCACTGATACATATTTTCTGTTCGTCCTGGGAGTTTGAGTTTGAGATGCTCTTCAAAGTTCTGAAATAAGCATGGTCAGACCATCTCTTTATACAAGTTTTCACATTTAATTGATGTAGACATGATGGTGTGTGTGTGTGTGTGGGGGGGGGGTTGAAGCTATCAAAATCAAGTTACAGATAAAGGAACAAAGCAAAAAAAAATTAACTGTGCTTCAGTATTTGTTGTAAATACTTGATTTACCTAAAATCTATCACCCTCTCTTTGAGAAATCCATTTCATTTGATTTATTATCAGTTTATTTTCCTCACCCTCTTCTCAAGAATGACAACATTTTTTTAAAATACTAAGCACTGACAGTGAAAAATTATCCTAAATCCAGGTCCATCATTCCAAGGGAAAGTATAGCTTTGGTTTTCCGAATTGTCTTGTGCCATTTGTTGTCCCTGGTCGTTTAGGAATTGTCCCAATGTTCTTCACGCGCTCCTGTCTTTATGCTCATTATTTCTGCTTTAATTAAAAACATTTCTATTCTGTCTAAATGCTTCTTTGCTGTTTTTCAGGTTTTCCTCAACCTTTTGCTGGATATCTAAGTGAATCAGACATTCCTAAAAGTGAGGTACATAACTTTTTTTAATGTCCTGTGTGATGCTAGAAACAATGTGAACTCTGGGCTGTTGTAGGTTTTTTCGGGCTATATGGCCATGTTCTAGAGGCATTCTCTCCTGACGTTTCGCCTGCATCTATGGCAAGCATCCTCACTACCTCTGAGGATGCTTGCCATAGATGCAGGCGAAACGTCAGGAGAGAATGCCTCTAGAATATGGCCATATAGCCCGATAAAACCTACAACAGCCCAGTGATTCCAGCCATGAAAGCCTTCAACAATACAATATGAACTCTCATGGGGAAAGTGGGTTCAATCTCTGTTATACAGGGAAGGAGAAAAATTGTGATGGACACAGTCAGTTTTGGTGTGTGACTTACTTACTTAGGTGATCCCTCACAGCCCAAAGATGATGGTCCTCCAAGTTTAGTGTCTTGGCGATGGATCCATAGGTAGCTGTAGAGCCCAATTCTTGATCCGCATGTTCTTCCACAGTGAGGACATTGGTTTCCAAGTGGAAGGCAGTCTGGGTCAGGGTTGGCTTGATGTGCCTTCCTCTTGGCACGTTTCTCCCTTTTGCCTCCATTCATGCCTCTTTGAATTCTGCAGCACTGCTGGTCACAGCTGATCTCCAGTTAGAGCTCTCAAGGGCTTCCCAGTTCTCAGTGTCTATGCCATAGTTATTAAGCTTGGTTTTAAGCCCGTCGTTAAATCTTTTTTCCTGTCCACCAACATTATGTTTCCCATGGTGTGTGACTATTCCTCAATTCCTGTTACTTTAAGATGGGCTGCAACTGTTCTACATTGGCTGTGAGATCAAAATATATGAGTGTAACGTATATACTAGTGTACATATTTGAGCTTAATCTTCAGAGAATGTTACAAGCCTCACAAAATCAAGTGATAAGCTTTAGTGTAAACTACAGACTGCACTGGATATCTGAGTTTCTTTTCACATTTTTTTTTTGTAGAGACTGGCCCTGTGTTTCAGTCAGTGGATAGAACTCTCTGACCAACCTCAGGTAAAAACATATTGTGATTAGCTTTCAATTTTATTAATATTTTGGTGTGTTTCAGGGTTAAAGATTATTCACACAAACTTTTTCTGCATTGCCTGAGCTACAAACAATAACTTGGTGTATTTCTTTATATTTCTTTGCATCACTTCAAGATGCATACCCAGTTTGGTTTCTTATCTCTAGATTAGGTATGGGGGCAAACTTTGGCCCTCCAGGTGTTTTGGACTTCAACTCCCACCATTCCTAACAGCCTCAGGCCCATTCCTTTTCCCCCTCAGCCACTTAAGCGGCTGAGGGGGAAAAGGAAAGGGCCTGAGGCTGTTAGGAATGGTGGGAGTTGAAGTCCAAAACACCTGAAGGGCCAAAGTTTGCCCATGCCTACTCTAGATCATATAATAATACCATCACTTCACCTTCCATGATTATTTTTACAAAATATATTTATCTTGTAGGTCTCCAGTTCTGTTATGGATCTTTGTAACTCCATGTTCAATGGTCTGCAGATAGATGAGGTAAGATCCAAGTTTTGTATTTCCAAAGGAGCTTCAGTATTTCACCTAGTTTAAGTCATCATTAACTACTGTGTAATCTAATATCATCGTTGTCCTCACCAGGAAAATAATCAGGAGATATATAAAAGGGTAAGTATTTGTCTTCCTTCATCCTAAACATTATGTACATTATGCAACTTTGTCAAAATAGTGTAACATACTAAAACAGCTTTTTCTGTGCAGTTTTTATTTCACTACTCCAGAGCGCAAGACCCAACCTATCCACTTAAAGCTGGGGTTAGTATTTTGTCATACATTGTACATTACACACCCAAAGAAGTCTAGAACAGAGATAGTTAATTTGTCTTAAATCCAGTGGCATATACTTAATAGCTCAAACGCATGCATGAAGTCAATAGCAGATTTCTCCTATGTATATATTTTATATATGGCTTAGTTCTAAAGAGTCATCAAATTACTTTAATAAACACAGTAGAACTTTGGATAAGGCTATTCCTAGAATATACAAAATAATTTGTGATATGTTGGAAACAAACATTTTAAAAATAAGATGAGTTAATGCAAACTGAGTTTATTTGGACTACTGTATTTAATAGTAAATTATTTCATCCAAAGGGAAACATATGACTATGAAATGCTTTCAAGACATAATTAATATGTTGTTGATTAGAAATGTGTGTATATGTATATATACACATTCATTCTCTGCTGAATAATGATGATTCGCTTTATTACAACAAAGAAAATAATTGGGTTGCTGTGAGTTTTCTGAGCTGCATGGCCATGTTACAGAAGCATTCTCTTCTGATGTTTCGCCCATCTATGGCAGGCATCTTCAGAGGTTGTTTAGGTCTGTTGGATCTAGGCAAGTGGGGTTTATATATCTGTGGAATGTCCAAGGTGGGAGAAAGAACTCTTGTCTGTTTGAGGCAAGTGTGGATGTTGCAATTGGCTGACTTGATTAAACAGTTTTAAAAAAACATCTAAAATTGGGACATTAAATAAAGAGCAACACTCAAAAATACAGGGGAATTCCAGACAAGAATCAATCAGAGCCAACTAACACTTCCCATGAAAGGATACCCCCCAGGCAGCAACCAGCCAGTCTTTGAAACTCCAAGGCTATTAAATGCTAATCAAGGTAGCCAACTGAAACATTCAAACTTGTCTCAATCAGACAAGTGCTCTTTCTCCCACCTTGGACATTCCACAGCTATATAAACCTCATTTGCCTAGTTTCCAACAGACCTCACAACATCTGCCATAGATGTGGGTGAAACGTCAGGAGAGAACACTTCTAGAACATGGCCATACCATCCAGAAAACTCACAGCAACCCAGTGATTCCGCCCATGAAAGCCTTCGAGAACACAAGAAAACAATTGCTTTGAAATATATTTCTACACATGAACCCCATTTAAATCAATGGGTTTTAGTCACTAAGAAGCATGTTAGAATGCAGCATGGGTGGCCAATAGAACTGAACTGATGTTTGCATTAACTCAGAAATAATGAAATTGCTATTTCTATGATAGAAGCAATTACGCATAGATATCTCATAAGCGTAGGTCAACTCAAGATTGAGACAGAAGTGACAAAAGCCATGGGTCAAGTCCCCAAATGGTGTCTAAAAAGTGTTTGATATTTATTACCAAACTTAGCTTGGAATTTTCTAGTTAGAATGACCCAGTACTCTGTGCATATGTCTCTTTTGAAATATGTGTGTTCATATGTTAGGAGTATAAGGCTGTCAAAACCAAATAGGTTGTCCTAAGCTTTAGATATTTCCTTTTTTCTGATGTTTATCACAATATAAAACTAGTGTTCATAATATCTCTTTGTTGTAGTCTTTCCCTGTGCATCCTTTAATGAGCCTTGCTCCAAAGCTCTCGGAGAGAAGAATGAAAAGATTCCTTGATCCAGTATGCACTTATTACTTCCATAGTATTTTGTGGCACTAGAATGTCATCTCAACTGTTGTCCTTTAAAAAGCCATTGTGCCAGTGTTAATACTGTAAGCTTTTAATATGAAATAAAAGCACCATCACTGCCCAATCCCCTTTCCTTCTTCTCTCCTTATTTTATTTCTTTCTGTTTTCATTTCTCCATGACTTTTATGCAAATGTCTCTAAGGTTTTTCACAAAAAAATACTGATGAGGCACACTAATTAATGTATTTATTTACCATATTTATATCTCGCCTTTCTCACCCCGAAGGGGACTCAAGGTGGCCTTACAACAGGCAGAAATTTGATGCCATACACACATATATCAAATAAATAATTACAATTAAAACCAAACAATTAAAACCAGAATAATAAAATTGACAATTTAAATAACTCCAACCAAAACATAATCCAGGGCAGTTCCATTTGTCAATCACATTATTTCATAGCCACTTATTGCACTGCCCCAATTACTTGCCAAAAGCATGGAACCAAAGCCACATCTTAAGTTTTTTCCTGAAGGTCAGGAGAGAAGGGGCTGATCTAATTTCATTGGGGAGGGAGTTCCACAGTCGAGGGGCCACCACTGAGAAGGCCCCTGTCTCTCATCCCCATCAATCACACCTGCGAAGGAAGTGGGACTGAGAGCAGGGCTTTCCAGACTATTTTAATCTCCGATATGGTTCATAGAGGGAGATACATTCCATAAGATGTAGACGTCTCCAAAAAATGGAGTTGATATTGGTACTCAATCCTAGGCAGCATGGGATGTGAAGTTGCAAATCTACTCCAAGCTTAACTTTAAAGGAGTTGTCCAAGGTCCTGAACTATTTAAATTCCAGCTATAACTCCACTGACAACTATTACTGGGAATGTAATGGCAGCATTTTCCACGCACATCTACAATAACACTGCTCATGCAATGACCATTTCAGTTTGAAGCTTATTTACAAAACTGTTAGAATGTAGGAGCATATAGTCTTGCCATTTCTTATGGAATAATTAATTTCTATTTGTCATCTGGAAGGAATGGTTCAGTTGACTACTATCCACAGAAGGCTTGAGCGTAGACTCATATGTGTAGAGTATCACAAAATGTACACACCCTTTAACAGCAAATGGTGATTATTTGAAGGCTAAGAAAATACATTTAATTAAATACATTAAAATCCTCTAGAACATGGCCATATAGCCCCAAAAAATCTACAACAACCCAAATACATTTAAGTTGAAGAATGTTATAATAAGGATTTAATCACAATTAGCAAATCAAATCATTTATTTCGGTCATTGACCAGCACAGGAAATATTAATCACAATTATAACATAGTGAATTGCCATTTTGGGAGACTGTTCAAATTGCCATCCTTCATGCTGCAATGCACTCCCCTCATCGTTGAAGCACAGAGTTGCAAACTTTACTTAAAGTGTCTTTTGTAATTTTACAACACTCTACTGTTGAAAATGTTAATGCTATTCAGGATGTATACCTTTTTTGGAAAAAAAATGGGGGGGGGGAATCTAGAATTATAAACCCTTAAGTGTATGTATGTGTGTGTGAGAGAGAGAGGGAGTGCATCTTTACTGGATTGTAAATAAGCATCTGTGGCTTGTGACTGCATTGAAATATCTTTTGAAAAACATAGAGTGGCAGATACAATATTCCAACAAAAATAAAATTGCCCTTTCAAAAACCAGCCCTAGAATGTTATTTTTCATCTAAGCTTTTGCATTGTGTTCAAGAGACTGAAGTATGCAATTCTGTATGTAGCAGGGTCTAAGAAAGGCCTCTGCTAAACTCAAGAAGTGTATTCTCTCTCTGTTTCAACATTGCCTGTTTTGTGTTTTAAATGTTCAAATACGCTACCCAGATCTACTAAATTCCATTGCAAGGCTGCAGTGTGCTAGCTTTTGAGTAAGACGAAATTAACATCCTGATCTCTCATTGCAGGAATCGCAGGTGGCTGCTGCAGAATTCACAAAGAAGGTAGGAAAACACGGTCATTGTGACTGACAAGGCAGGGAATGGGGGGTGTGTGTCAAAATGAGGAGGCAGCATGCTGCAAAATAAGAGAGATGAATATTTTAATAAAAATAAATGAAACTCATCCAAGAAGAAACACATCTGTTATGATGCCATCTTGTCAGGGCAGAAAGAAACCAGAGTTCTTGGTTTACTTGTCATGATAAATAATTCACAGAGGGAAGGGCCATGGCAAGTTTACCACCATTCCAACTCACAAGAGTAACCAAATGCAAGTGATTAAGGATACTCTGCTGCCTCATTCAAACTTATGCATGGAGTGGCTGAAACAAGGGGGTTGACATTTTAGGAAAGGACATTTTATAATCCAGAAACAAAAATTGTGTTACAAGGTGTAATGTTTTGTACCTCTCTTGCAGGGTGGACAGTTCTTTGCACTCTGCTTGCAACGGGATCAGTTTCCTTCCCCGATCTGTGTCTGACTGTTTCCATGTTATACCCCAATATGTAGATAAACAATGCTGGCCTTTGTCAAGGAACTTAAGTCTACTTTACTTCTTTTATTTTACAGGATGGTTTGGATACCTTGGGCCGTCCCTTTTTCCTTTTTCGGGTATCTAATTTTTCTCTTTCCTTTGAAAACAATTTCCCTTCCACCTTCATCCACACAAAGAGTCCTTGCATACTATATAATGATAGCACAAAGACTCCACTTTGATTGCCATTCCTACATTTGATGAAATCCAAGAGTTTGTAGTTTGGTTAAGCAGTGCTAAAAATTCTAAGGCCTAAACTTCAAACCCCAGGATTTTGTAGGATGGAATCATGGCAATTAAAATAGACTGATAGTGCTAAAATTGTGAAAGGACCCATAGACCTGATTTGTATTGGTTAGTGCCAACTAAAATAGCCTTAAGAAATCAACAGTTAAGTAACGGGTCAACATGTAGATAAATCTGAGTCAACAGGTCAACTTTAGTTAGGGCTAGCAATAGGCCACAATTGTGTCTTGCTAACAGGTGTGGAAGCAATGCTTTTGTTTCAGTTAGCAACAACTAATATGACCCATCAATTTCAATGTAAAATCTAAAATATCAAATTATTTTTTACACTTGAAGAAAAAAAATCCCAGTGTGTTCTAAACAGACTCAAGCTCTTTTTTGAGGTCCAAATGCCCATGAGATTGTTGTATAATCATTATCTTGGCTACGTCAAAATATGTTTGAAGTAGCCATAAAGATTTTAGTGATATTTTTGGCACCTCTGCTAAAGTTAACCTAAACTAATACACACCAACATTTTAAGATAAACTTGGCTTCATGAAAGTAATTGGGATTTTCAGCATTGGCTTTATTAGTACTTCTTTGTGTGTGTGTGTGTGTGTGTGTGTATGTGTGTCAGGATCGACTTGTGTGTGCAAGTCACTTCTGGTGTGAGAGAATTGGCTGTCTGCAAGGACATTGCCATGGGACGCCCAGATGCTTTATGTTTTACCATCCTTGTGGGAGGCTTCTCTCATGTCCTGCATGGGGAGCTGGAGCTGACAGAGGGAGCTCATTCCCGCTCTCCCCAGATTCAAACCTCCGACCTGTCGGTCTTCAGTTCGGCTAGCATTAAACTGAATTTAACCACAGAACCTTGGCTTAGGTTAAAGCTTATTCATAGCTATGGAAAAAAACAGAAAATAATGCAAAGAGGACCTTTAGCTTTTCATTGATGTTTAATTCTATTTTTTAAAAAAATGAAAATATTCACCTTTTCTGCAATTCTGGTTAGCCAGGATCACTTGGAAGATCAGCTCAGGAAATTTTGTCATTGGTCTTAATTAGTTTATTTTTATTTGCACTTCTGGACTCATAAATCTGAACACTATTGTTAATTCCAACTAGACAAATCCATTCAATCAATGGGAATTATTTATGTGTTGATTCACCGGTGATCAGTTGATTCAATGAGTTTAATCTATTTGGGACTAATAAAAAAAATCAGGGCATTGGTTGGATGTATCACCATATCTAGTACACAATATTTAACTTTTGGAGGTTGATTTGACAAGAAAGCCCAAAGAAGAAAAAATGTGCCAAAAATCGGCATGCTTACTCTAGCTTCCATTCCAAGCATCTTTGAGATAGGAGCCACGGTGGCGCAATGGGTTAAACCTTTGTGCCAGCTGAACTGCTGACCTGAAGGCTGGTGATTCAAATCCACAAGATGGGGTGGGCTCCCATCTGTCAGCTCCAGCTTCCCATGCATGGACATGAGAGAAGCCTCCCACAGGATGGTAACTCATCCAAGGTGTCCCCTGTGCAACTTCTCCGCAGATGGCCAATTCTTTCACACCAGAAGTGACTTGCAGTTTTTCAAGTTGCTTCTGACACCACACAAAAAAAATCCTTTTGAGATTGCAGACTAATAGATATACAGTTGTCCCACCACCTTTGCAATTTTGACTCTTGTGAATTTGAGTATTCATGGTTTGATTTAAATGTTCTTTCTAGAAATCTTGAGTTTCTTAAGTGTGACTCTTTTTCTGGTCATGCTGAGGGACCTAGAGATTTAGAAAATGCACATCTCTAACAATCTCCAGTGTGATTCTATGGATAGCTTCCAGCAGAATTAAACTATGGAGTCATTCTGGAAGTCCTAGGATTTCCTGGAGGGATGCTCCATCAGATTAAAAAAAGGGAATTTTCTTTATGTTTTTAAACTTAGGGAGTATCTGTATTACACAACATCCTGCAGAGTAGAAGAAAGGCCTAAAGTTAAGCCTAGATCAGCACCCCACCCCAAAATAAAAGACAAAGCAGAGAGCAATTATTCTCATCAATGATTCTGCTCTTTTGTGAATTCTTTCATTTCAAACTAGTAAGTCCATGAGGTACTGACAAAGCACATGTTCTTTTCTAATGCTCACTTTGCCTAGCACAGAACTCTCATTATTTCTCAGGTTTAGTGCATAAACAATATTATAACATTTGTTTGCATATTGCATTTACAGCCTAGGAATGGAAGGACAGTGGATAATGGAGGTGAATAGGCCAAAATAAAAGGTGATTTTCATTTATCATCATGGTTGTTCTATTTGCTTATGTATAGAGCAGCACTGACATCAACGGAAGCTCCCTCCTCCCTTGAATTTATTATGGATGTGGCTGGAGAAATGTGGCCTAAATCCAAATACTATTTTAACTAGATTTGATGCATTTGATCCATAGATTTATTTTTTTTACAATTAATGGGATGTTGATTTGCCATTTGGGGAAATCACTTATTTATTACAATGTCCCAAACCACATACTCAGGATGGGAACTGTAATTCAATCTGCTCAACAGGGAAGATTACTTACAATGTTTTTGTTTTTGTTTTTAAATTTAGTGATTTTTTTCCATACACCTGTGGAACCAGAAATCTTTGGCTCGGCCTCCATGCTCCATCCATTTGAACTACAAAGTGAAATGCTGGGACTATGCTTAGCCCCTGGTTGAAGAGACATGCCTCTCGACTATATGAAGTCAAACACAATAAACTTGCAGCCATGAATTATGCTTGTAAATTTTCTCTCTGTATTTGCATCTTTATTTTTAATTCATTCAAACCTTTCATGTTCTTATTCAGCTGAAACCCAGGTGGGATTCTCCTGCCTCATTGCCCAAAAGGAAGCCAAGCAAAATCTAGATTCCCCGTGGCTTTGCGGAGATTCATTCACATTTCTCCAATCTCACTTGTTGCTTTTTAAAAGGGACATGGGGAGTGCTTAATAAACCCTTCACAAAGATTTACAAGTGGTCCAGTCATGAGGCTATGGGTTGTATTATTTGTGACTGTGTTGACTAATTGATATCACAACACAATACAGTTACCTTCCTTTTCTATGTTTTCTAGCATGATGTGGGCGGGAAGTATAGTCAGTCCCCAAGTTATGAACAAGATAAATTCAGTAGGTCTGTTCTTAAGTTGAATTTGTATGTAAGTTGAAACAGGTACATTTTAAATGTAACTCCAGCCAAGGATGGATGGATGGATGGATGGATGGATGGATGGATGGATGGATGGATGGATGGATGGATGGATAGATGGATAGATGGATAGATGGATAGATGGATAGATGGATAGATGGATAGATGGATAGATAGATAGATAGATAGATAGATAGATAGATAGGGGGGTGAAATTTAGTTAAACCTTGTTCTGTTTAAGATATCTGAATTTTGGTGGACATTCAGATCCATTTTTCAATCTGACAACCAAAAGATCTGGCCCATTGATAGCAATGGGGAACTTAGGAGGATATAAATAAAGTTTGATGGATGGATGGATGGATGGATGGATGGATGGATGGGATCTGGCAGGCTCCGTGCCTGAAGTGAGGTCGCACTAGGATGGGCAATTTTGCCTGTGTGATGAAGTCATAGCGATCTGTAGTCTGGATCTCTGCCCAGTCATAGAAATCTACTGGGAAGTCTTGGACAAGTTGGACTCAGTCTTAGATGATGACACCCTCAAGGTGAGAAAAACGGTATACAAATACTGTAAATAAATTTATTCCCCACAATAAATATTGTAAAAAAACAAACAAAACCATTAGCTGAGAGTAATCTTGAAGGCATATAACAGCCACAGCAATAATTCCCCTTCAACGCTGCCTCTGTATCCCAGGATCTGATCCCAGATTATCTGTATATCCCAGATTATCTGGCAGTGGAGACTCATATAACCCAGTTCAAAGCAGATAATCTGGGATCAGATCCTGGGATATAGGGCAATGTAGAAGGGGCCTAAGCAAACAGTTAGTCTAAAACAGTGATTCCCAAACTCTGGTTCTCTAGGAGTTTTGGACTTCAACTCCCAGTAACCTGAAACACTTTGGCCAATGGTCTGAGATTCTGGGAGCTGAAGTCCAAGATACCCAGAGGACCAAATTAGTATATCAACAGAGGCCCCCTGAAATTTAAGAATACTTTTATATTTTGCAGTCCATATTGTTCAGTGTGACCAGGACTTCATTAGGATGAAGCTCACCTGATTTTGGCACGTAATACTTTAAAAAATATTTTAGCAGTTGCATGGCAGAGCAGTGCATCCGTTCTTTCTCTTTTAGAGCCTCAAAATGGTTTGCATACCAATTCCTTTAAGGCTGAGCTATTGTACCTGGCATTATGGGAGCTGTAATTCAAAATATTTGGAGGACACCAGGTTGCCTGCTACCTGTAGTAACATTTTAGTTGTGTCCAAATACATGTCATTTTTATCTTACTTTTCTCCCAGTATAGGGATTCATGTCCTTTGTGGAGGGGTCTGTTTGTGTAACAATATAAGTTTTGGCACTTGGATGAATGTTTGGAGAAAGGAACAGCTGTCCATTACCACCCCAGAAAAGAAAAGATGAACTGTTTAGATGCATAAATACAAAATCCTTCTAAGAGAATTGGCTTTTTATTTTAACATGTACAAATTGTGAAAAATATTTTACAGTTCATAAAGATATGGTGTTATTTTACATTAGAAAGCGCACAGATCATTGCTGCATGTATAGCCCAAAGCTACGATGCTTACAAATTATTACCCAAGTCCATCTCTGTGAGATAGTAAGATTTTAGCAGGCTTTAGAATTCCTGAGACCGAGTATCTTCGGCAACCCCTTTCTCCCTCATAGTCTTCTTAGGGAGAAGCGAGGCATGGATATGCGGAGGAACTCCTCCTTCAGCAATGGTCACACCGTTAAACAACTGGTCTAGTTCTTCATCATTCTTCACTGCCAACTGGATGTGTCGTGGCGAAATCCGATGCTTTTTGTTTGCAGAAGCAGCAGTGACTGACATAGTCACTACCTCGAAAACCAGGTATTCCAACGCAGCTGCAAGAAACACTGCGGCTCCAGGGCTTACTCGGTCAGCATAGCGACCCTCCTTCAAGTAGCGTCTGACCCGTCCCACTGGGAACACCAGGCCAGCTTTGACACTCTTGTTTTTGTGAAGAGTAGAAGCAGGCTTTGCAGGCTTCTTGCCCCGTCCAGACATTATAGCCCCTATAAACAGAGAAAAATATCCCTTTAATATCACCATTTATTAGGCTTCATTAGATAGCATACCATCTAACATATTACTGATAAAAACCAGGACAAAGCAGAATGTGGTCAAGATGGGAAAAGTTATTAATGACAATGAAGAAGGCCCAGGCTATAGCAGGCATAGGTAAACTTTGGTCCTCCAAGTGTTTTGGACTTCAACTCCCACAATTCTGAACAGCCTACAGGCTGTTCAGAATTGTGGAAGTAAAAGTCCAAAACACCCAGAGGACTGAAGTTTGCTTACGCCTAAGTTATTGCAATTTGGTTTTGCCTGAACCTATTGGGAAAGGCAGGATTTCACTCCTTTTTCTCCCCCCTGTTTTAATTGTATGCAAACTACCTTTTTTTTTTTACCCTAAACTCAATTTGCACCAGTGGAAGTAAGATAAAGACAAATGGGGAAAGTGGAACTACAGAGGATTCATTGTAACTGTTCATACCAAATTGGGAGAGTTGAAAGATAAGAATAGATGAATAGTTGACTTCCTTGCTAGCTTGTCGGAAAGATAACAATTAAAGCTTGAACTTCTAAGCACGGTATTATTATCTATATCACCTTCCATGTGTATTAGATCACAGTATGTGCCACACCCATGGTGGAGCATGCAAGCAATCTGTGAGTGTGTGTCAACTGTAAAGGAAGATGCATGAAGCTGATTGGTCGGGCAATGCACCAGGTGATTGCTGAGTCTTGAACTTTTGGATACTGTTGCACTTTTGTTCAGGCTCAAGCTATGCAGTTGCAGAGAGATGAAGAGAGAAGCAGAGAGAGACAGACTGTTTTGCTTCTTGGCTGCTGAAAGAAGGTCTCTTGTTCATTACTATTCACCCACGTGGCTTATTTTCTTTATCTGGCAAGGCAGTGTGTGGGCTGATCAAACGTGAACTACACATGGTTTATTTTTACATTACACCACAACCCAGGCCTCAGTTAGGCAAAGTCCTTAGCCTAAAATCAGTAGAACCTCTCAAAGTATATCAAAGTATTCCCAGTGAGAACCAGAAATACAAACTAACCCCCACCCCCCAAACTATGCTCAGGTCTGTGCTAGGTTTACTTAATTTCTATCATTGACAGGCCGTAGCCAGGATTTTGATTCAGGAGGGGCTGAGTTTGATTCGGGGGGGGGGGCTGAGTCTGAGTGAAAGAGGGTCTACCGTAGCAAACCTTTTGTATTGTTTCCCCAATACCCCCATGCATATGGGATATATTGAGCATGGTGATCAGATCGTGATATGAATAAACATAACAGTTTAAATAATGTACCAGAAAGGCCTTCTCGCGGACCACCATGAGAATTTGGGGGGGGGGGGGCTTGAGGGGCTTCAGCTACATACCTGATCATTGATATTCCTTATGTCTCTCATTACTCAAATAATCTTGGGATGAGTAGCAGTACATTATATACAGATATAAACAAGTATCAGAATTCCTTTGTTTTAATTCCGTTTTGAAACAACTGCATTAAGCATTTCTTCCTATTAACTTGTTCAGCAGTCAACATTCCCTTCTTGTAAAATATATGAAGATGTACTTTCTATAGGAATTGACTATGTATGTGGAAATAGATGCATACAATATTTTAGCAGTTGCATGGCAGAGCAGTGCATCCGTTCTTTCTCTTTTAGAGCCTCAAAATGGTTTGCATACCAATTCCTTTAAGGCTGAGCTATTGTACCTGGCATTATGGGAGCTGTAATTCAAAATATTTGGAGGACACCAGGTTGCCTGCTACCTGTAGTAACATTTTAGTTGTGTCCAAATACATGTCATTTTTATCTTACTTTTCTCCCAGTATAGGGATTCATGTCCTTTGTGGAGGGGTCTGTTTGTGTAACAATATAAGTTTTGGCACTTGGATGAATGTTTGGAGAAAGGAACAGCTGTCCATTACCACCCCAGAAAAGGAAAGATGAACTGTTTAGATGCATAAATACAAAATCCTTCTAAGAGAATACACACACCAAAATCACAAGTTTACACAAATACCATGCAGCTCAAGACAGAACAGTTAAGTTGAAGAGAAACTTACTTCCAAAATGTAGGGAAAGATTCCTTTCACTACACTTCACCCAACACCGAGGATGCCTCTCTCTGAGTGCCAGCAGCAGAAAAGTTTTTCCTGTCAAAATATTTCTGATGAAAAGAGGGAAACCCAAAATTTGCCCTTGATTGTCTTTTAAGCTCTCTATTGCAGCAAGCTCATTAGATTCCTTTCAGCTGAAATCATTTCATTAACTTGATTTAATCAACCACCCAATTAGAGAGACAGACAAGCACATGATGGAGAAATGTCAACTGCTTTATCTTGTAACAGGTGAGTTCTCTGCTAAATGGTAAATGTTACTGTATATTTCAACCTACTCTCTCTCTCTCTCTCTCTCTCTCTCTCTCTCTCTCTATATATATATATATATATATATATATATATAGTGTCAGGAATAACTTGACATGGTGGCGCAGTGGGTTAAACTCTTGTGCCTGCAGGACTGAAGACCGACAGGTTGGAGGTTCAAATCCAGGGAGAGCACGGATAAGCTCCCTCTGACAGCTCCACCTCCTCATGCGGGGAAATGAAACAAGCCTCCCACAAGGATAGTAAAACAAAAACATCCAGGTGTCCCCTGGGCAACGTCCTTGCAGACAGCCAGTTCTTTCACACCAGAAGCAACCTGCAGAAGCAACTTAATTTATATGATTCAATGTTGTTTCATAGAGGACACTGCATTCACATCAATAGATATGCAATTGATAGGCCTACCAAACTGTGATTCTCTTAGATATGTTTGACTTTACACCTTCTAGGTTCAGAAAAACATGGCAAAATGGTCAAAAACAATCAGAACAGTAGGCCAACATTGTGATTCCCAAATTTTGGTCCTCCAGGTGTTGGACTTCAATTCCCAAAAGCCCTAGCCATCTTTCCCACAGTTGGGGATCCAAGGTGGCATCTGCACTAAAGAATTAATGTAGTTTGACACTACTTTAACCATCATGGCTCAATGCAATGGAATCACGGGAGCTGTAATGTTACAAGCTACTGTATTTAGCCCACTTTGCTAAAGAATGCTGGTGCCTCGCCAAATTATAACTCTCAAGACTCCATAACGTGGAGCCATGAAATTAAGAAACAAACTGCATTAATTATACAGTTTAGATGCATCCTCAATTGAAGTGCAAAGCATCTGGAGGATCAAAGTTTGGGAACCATTGGTTCAACAACATATGGAGAACCAATAAGTTTGCAAACAATTCATCTCCTTCACCTTGTTCCAGGGTGCTCATGTTTTGCTACCATAAATCTATTATTGAGATACCACTAAACAGACCTTTGCATAGCTTAAAGGTGCTTGCTTAAATTAGCTTTTTGGGGTTTTTCTAATGCTAAATGTAAAATTTAGTATGTAACCTGCTAGGGTAGGTGATATATGAGGAAGATTTTAGAAGCTGAGATGTAGCCAGTGATTCAAAATGAAGTTTAGATTTTGCAGGTGGGTGACAAAATTATGTGTGAGTTCTGTTGCACAAATTGCATGCTATTTATTTTTGAGGGGTGTTGAAGGGACATTATCATTATTAATGTCCCTTATGCAGGAGAGACACCATTGTGTCCCTAGTGCAGAGGTGCAGGAATGGCAATGTACCACCAGGGGGGACTGGCACACCATACCTCCAGGGAAACATGGCCGATTCCAGTCCTCTGACACTTATGCTCCACACCATTCTGGCTAAGTATACAGGGCATCATGACCTGGGACTGGAGGCAGGCCGCCCTCCCCAGATGCATACACTGTTCCTAACCAACTGACCATGTATGGACACTACCCTTGAAGACAGGAAGGATGACATCACCTGTTGCTGACCTTACCTACAGATTACCTCACCCTTGAGAGTCCAACCAATCACTTGACAATTATGTAATCCCCACTGTTGCTATGCAGACTTTGCTAAAGAACAAAAAAACCTATATAAGCTTGGCTTAGGGAACAATAAAGAGGTCATCATCATTCACTTCTATGCCCTGCTTCCCGCCTGGTCATTATCGCGTTTCAACATCTGGTGACCGACGACGTGATAGGATCCAGGCCTTCCATCCCATGCTTACCGCTGGAATAGCTACAAGGTGCGCACCTCAACGAGTTTTCTCGTTCCCACTCTCGTAAGTATGGGGTTAAGTATGTCAGTTCCGCAGCTGAGGCATGCACAAGAACTGTACAGGTTGTTAAAACAGGCAGGGCATTTTGAAGTAGATCAGGACCAGGTAAAAGATTTACTTGGAGAAATCAGATATCATTGTTTATGGTATCCAGAAGAAGGTTCTTTAAACCCATCAGATTGGGTCAGGATAGGTCAAACCTTTCTTGAAAAACCCCAGGGGACAATTCAACAATTGTGCCTTTGGAAACAATGTTGTGAAACAGTCACTCTCCTGAGAGTGACAGATAATCGCCCACCCGTGGCTCCAGTCACAAATCAACCTCTCCCGACTCAGATCATAAATCCTCTTTTTACCCCGCTCGAGATGGGATGTCCACAGATAGCCCTCCCTATCTTGCCTTCATGTGTCTTTGCTTTTAAATCATCCCCCGCCGATCCAAATTTCCCCTCCTCTCCTCTTAAAAATAAACAGCCAGGTCTTGAAAAGTTTTTACAGCCCCAGCCACTGAGAGACATGATTCCTCAGACCATTCAAAATGCTGGGGGCCGAAAAAACATAACCATAACCCTTCATGACATGACAGAGTTCAGGGAAACTGTATCCTCCACTGATCATATTCAAGACACAACAGCCGTGATTTCAGACCTAATTTATGGCTCCGACACATTCACTAAAACAGCTGGCCGACCAGAGCTCTCAACAATGAGATTCAATCCCACAACATTAGCGGTTAAAGAGCCTAATTACCAAACAATCATAAATATCATAATTCAGCTCCCAGATTTTGAGCCTGAAAAGACACATGCTTTTGCAGGGGGTGTTACATAAATAAACAATGCCTATACCATGTCCAGATGGACTATCAGGTCACAGACCTCCACCTTCTCCTAATACATCATTGGTGAGACAGTTTAACAACCCCTATCCCATTCCCTTGAGTTTCAATCGACACCAGCTAGATACAGCTATGTCGGTGTGATTTTTTAACACCCCCCCCCTCCAAAAGACAACATTTAAACATTTCTATTTAACAAGATTTCCATTCAACAAAAACATAAAGCTCCCATGACAAATATGGTTAAAAAACACCCTCTGATAAACTTATAGTGTCATTAAATAAACATTTGTTACAAAATGATTTTCAAGATAAACTTCTGTTCAATCAAAAGTTCCAAAATTATAATATATAAATAATCTAAAATCAAAGATCTATATATAGAGTCCTCATTCTTTTTAAATCATGTTTTGATAAAAAAAACTTTCAAAGTCTTAATTTTGATAAAAAATAGACAATACACAGTCCTTTAAAAATTGTCAAGCTTCATTTTTCTTTAATGCTAAACAACATTGATTAGTTATAAGATATGATGGGAGCCACGATACAACATCTAAATAGTGATTCCCAACCTTCCTCATGCTACGGCTCTTTAAGATAAATTCTTTATGTTATACTAACCCTCAACTGAGAGATGTTTGAGATTGTTTTCATTTGCTATTATTGTTTCATAGTTATAATTTTGCTCGTTGTTATTATTGTTTCATAGCCATAAGTTTGCTACTGTCATAAATTGTGATATACATGTCTGATATACAAAATAGATTCTCATTTACTTAATCTAGTTTGATACACATACCTATACACAACAATTTAAATACTGATAGAGTTGGTGTTGATTTCAAAATCAAGAGTTATAGTTCCTGAGATTCATAGTTCACAATCAAAACACATTCTAAACTCCACCAACAATAAAATTAAACCAAACTTAACACACAAAACTTCTTGTTCCTTTCATTTCAAAGGGTCAATTATAGATAAGACTCAAATTACATTCAACTTATACACTCTTAAATTTTAATCACACCTAAAAGCCATACATTTCATCTGATGCTTACAGATAAATCAGCTCCACAAAAACACACTTCTTACAAAACATTGGTTGACAACACATGCTTACATGATAACATATCTTGCTATGTTATTAATCATATACACATTAAACATTCTTGCTTAGTTCATTTTAAGATTGAGTTTATTAAGTCTACAAATCATAGCTTTGTTTGTTTCTTTTGATGTTCTTTTTCCTTTCCTAAAACACCAAACTCCCCCCTCCCTCCATATCAAACACAACACGCTAAAGTCAACATTTTTAAAAAAAAAAAGTCTGGTCTCAGCTTTCAATAGATCAAACCATTATATCATAAATCTACCACACTATAAACACACACTCCTATTCATTATCCACATCTCAGCCAAAGGTTTAAAATACCTACTTCATAAAAACGTTAATAAAATGATACTCAAAACCAGACATATATTGATATCTACCTTACAAAACACTAAAATCCATCAAAAAATCTCTCCCCTCTGCGAGAGAGATTCAAGCCGACAGACACGATACCCCAAAAAAAAGAGAGACATACATTCCACAAACAAGAGATAAGCCGTCCCAGCCACGGCTAGGCTCTAAACTCTGATTACACACACACAAACACTTCCCCTATCCTGTTTTTGTTAAAATGATGCTTGGTTACTCTGTTTTATTCTTTTAATTTGTCTCTTTTATAAGATATTATAAGATGTTTTTAATCTGCTTTTATTCTGCTTTTATTATATACTTAAAACTACAATTCCCTTCCTTACACACACCAATGCCCCATTTATACTGTGCTGGTCAAAGACCATAATAAATCATTGATTGATTGATTAATGACTATCAAAATCCTTGCTCTTCAACAAAACACAGCCCTATAAGGGTCATGCCTTTTCATCCTCATACTACAAAACCTATTATCCATTTCTCATTACACAATTACTAAAGTTTTCCAACGGGTCTACTGTTGATCATTATCACACTCATCCACATATATTTCAACAGATTAAAACCACTTACCCATAACATTGCTCAAAATACATTCCTAAAGATTTTAATACAACATTTTCTACCTTGGTCGAGTCTATTCTTTCTAGACTCTACCCACATTGCTACCTAAACCTAAAAAAGAGCTTAAAGCTACCTTTTTCCTTTTATAACTCTATACCAGTTCCAAAGTTTTTAAAATCATACCATCCCAATACTAGGGGTTAAACATGACTTCCCACTGTTGACCTGGGTTTAACACACTCAGTTTTCTTAAAATATTCAGTTAATCTGATCTCTTCATCACAAACAGTTTTGGTTCTGTCTCCAAACCATCCCTACACATCTAAATACATTCATAAACATCTCTGCTACAACATACCTTATATTACAATGCTAAATTCACAATGTTCTGCCCACATCTTTAACATTCCATACAATAGCCACACAACATAAAATTATTGAGCGTTCAAATCATACCTCTAAAAACCATCTGCTTCTTCTCACACACAAAACAAACAAAAGGGGGAGTCAGCCCCCTGGTCTCGTTGCCTGCTCCTTTCGCTTTCCAGCAGCTTTCCAGCAATGGCCTTCCTATACGTGTTATTTGCCATTAATCATTTAAATTTAATTTTATCTGATTCTTCTTTCGTTACCAGGATCTAGAAGCATTTCCCTCTCCCTACCCCCTCCTCCCTTAATACAGGTTGCCAGATCAAAAATGAAAAGGCCCAGCTCCCCTCATCGCCTGAAGTCGAAAATACTGCTGTGACGGGTCGATTTGAGTTAAAATCATGAAATCAAAGAGTTGGAGGAGACCTCGTGGGCCATCCAGTCCAACCCCCTGTCAAGAACCAAGAGTTCCTGCTTCAGCTGTCATAAACCTATGGACTTTAACAAACATGACTTGCTTTTTGACAACATTGTTTAATCACACATTCTCTGTCATTGGCTTCTTAAATCAAGCGCTTTGAGTTCCTGCTCGCTACATTTGCCCCTGAAAAGATGACGTGACACCAAGGCCTCCAAAATCCCATTCCCATGTTCACCCTCCAGTCAATTCTATGTATTGTTTCAAACTTCAACAAAATATTTATGCATGTTGTTTTTTAAAGACTTAGCTTAACATAATAAGCAAAACACTGTACCTGCTTGATAAAACTTTTATAATCCAATTTGTTTACTCTACACAACTATTGATGGCTTATGTAATAATCTGCTACTGCTACATTTGATATATATCCCATTGTTATAAGCTTCTTGCTAGCCTCACGCTCTGCTGACCTTTCCCCCCTGCCTCAAAATGATATCCTAATATATGTCCTGGCTTCCTGTCGGCTAGATCAAAAAAAAAACAGTTCAAATTGTTTTACTGTTGACTGGCTGTTTGATCATATGCTGCTGCCGCATTTAATACATTCCATCCCTGTGACAGCTTTACCAGCCACGGCCCCTACAAGCCCCTCCTAGACATGATGTCCTTTATACATACAAATTGTTAATAAAACAAACAAAAAAAGGGGGGATGAAGGGACATTATCATTATTAATGTCCCTTATGCAGGAGAGACACCATTGTGTCCCTAGTGCAGAGGTGCAGGAATGGCAATGTACCACCAGGGGGGACTGGCACACCATACCTCCAGGGAAACATGGCAGATTCCAGTCCTCTGACACTTATGCTCCACACCATTCTGGCTAAGTATACAGGGCATCATGACCTGGGACTGGAGGCAGGCCGCCCTCCCCAGATGCATACACTGTTCCTAACCAACTGACCATGTATGGACACTACCCTTGAAGACAGGAAGGATGACATCACCTGTTGCTGACCTTACCTGCAGATTACCTCACCCTTGAGAGTCCAACCAATCACTTGACAATTATGTAATCCCCCACTGTTGCTATGCAGACTTTGCTAAAGAACACAAAAACCTATATAAGCTTTGCTTAGGGAACAATAAAGAGGTCATCATCATTCACTTCTATGCCCTGCTTCCCGCCTGGTCATTATCGCGTTTCTACAGGGTGTAATGCTTGTGTGGGTGCTGTGGGAATCTGTGTGTACCCCCCCCCCCCAATATTCATTCTAAGTTTCTGAATAAACAGAAGGCTTGCCTTGTGAAAGGCAGAGTTTTCTGAAGGATCTTATGACTTGGAGAACTAGAGTACACATACATAATTATACATATGCACACACTCCATGGTGACTCTTGAGTTCCCAAAGATTATAATAGATGTGTATAAAGTCAACAAGGCTTCACCGATAACCATAGAAGTGAACTCTTCAACTATTGTTCAAGGCTAAATATGAAGAGGCTAATCAGTAGAAGAATGGCTACCAGGTAATAAACTGGCTTTAGCAACAATTCATGGGTTAGCAGCCCCTTCCATTGATGGAGGCACTTCCCCTTTAGCAAAATCACATATATTCAAAAATATAGCTGTAGTGATATAAGAGGAGCCCCTGGTGGCTCCCTTGTGCCGGCAGGACTGAAAACTGACAGGTTGGAGGTTCGAATCTGGGGAGAGCACGGATGAGTTCCTTCTGTCAGTTCCAGCTCCCCATGTGGGGACATGAGAGAAGCCTCCCACAAGGATGATAAAACATCAAAACCTCCAGGCATCCCCTGGGCAATGTCCTTGTAGACAGCCAATTTTCTCACACCAGAAGCAACTTGCAGTTTCTCAAGTCACTTCTGACACGAAATAAAAAAAGAAGTGATATAAGAAAACAGTGAGATAAGGCAGACACAAAGCTTTGTTACATTGCAACTACATCATCCACTTAGATTAGTTGTCAACCTTTGGTTATCCAGATGTTTAGGACTTCAATTCCCAAAAAATTGTGTGAATTGGACTTATTGGCTGGGATTTCTGATAGCTGAGAACCACTGACTTTGATAGACCCAGTCACTGGCATTAGAGAATACCTGGTCATTTTGCACCCACCAGCATATCAATAGATACTTCCAAATTTGTCTTCCATGCTTCTTGTTCAGACTGCCACTTTTAGCCACATTAGGAACTTATATACTAACCAGAGCTGACCCTGTTTAGCTTTCAAGATCAAACATCTGGAGGGTGCACAATCCCTAGCCTCGTCCTCGGAGACTGTGCAGCAGGATCTTGGGACCAGTACCGTAAAAAGCAGTTCAGAATGCAGAAGGGGTTGAGGAGCACAAGCAAACAAGTTCAGCTCCAGTACTTGTATCTTTCTGCCTTGAAGGTGGCTTTAAGAGTAGACCAGAGTTACTTTGCACTGCAGCTTCATACAGGTGAAACATTTCATATTGGTGAAATGCTATAATTCTTTTTTTAAAAACTCATACCACTTAGCACCAGTTAAAGTGATAATGGGCATTATATGAAACACTCAAGATCTGTGGCTTGAACTGCTATTCTAGGAAACCAATTTAATTTTTCAAAATGAGTGCCAGGAGATTGTAGGGAATCAAGAAGAACCCGTGTATGCATTTGTTTTAATGATTTAGTAGCAGCTGAATTTGTCAGTTTTCAATGCAGTAACCAAACACGGGCCTCCTGGTGACACAGCAGGTTAAACCGCTGAGCTGCTGAACTTGGTTGGCGGTTCAAATCCGGGGAGCTGTTAGGCCTAGCTTCTGCCAATGTAGCAGTTCGAAAACATGCAAGTGTGAGTAGATCAATCGGTAGTGCTTCTGCAGGAAGGTAACAGCGCTCTAGGCAGTCATGCTGGGCACATGACCTTGGAGGTGTTTACGGACATCGCCAGCTCTTTGGCTTAGAAATGGAGATGCACACCACCCCTCAGGGTCGGACACAACTAGACTTAATGTCAAGGGGAAACCTTTACCTACCAAACACTCTGCTCCTGTTCAGAAACCACTTTACGCTTTAACAGTAGCTTCACATTATGTGCTGTAAAAAGTGAAAGTAGCACTAAGGGCATAAGACATCAAGCCTCACACCCTCTTTTGCTGGGCATGAATGGGGAGTTAAATTTTGAGCTTAAACTATTGTTTAATATGCTATTGGTTGTATCTTGTTTTGCATTCTGTGTTTATTTTATGCATTGGGTTGGACACATTGTGCCATATGTAAGGCACCCCGAGTCCCTTCGGGGAGATGGAGGCAGGGTCCAAAAATACAGTTGTTACTGAAGCTCAAAGCTTTTCAAGGACCCTTTGTTACAATGTAACAGAAGAAGAGTCTGTTAATGCTTGGAAATATTCTCTATCTGGATAATTTTCAAAAGAAAGTCTTACCTGATGAGCAGGAAGGAAGAGAAAATCTCCCACAAGGATGTAAATGCTAGAAGAACATATGGGCATTTGCTTAAGACTGCAAATTTGTTCAAATTATATGACCTAGACAAATTTGAATTTGTTTCCGAGCCCAGACTTTAAGCAATGGAGAATAACACTGAGGATTTTTGGAGATGCAAGACCTTCTTCATCTGGCATCCCAAGAGTTTGTTGTTTTGCAACAAGAACAAATATTAAACAACGGGTAGATATTAATAGTTGTTTGAACTCAATGTAACTTCAACCCGTAGTGCTGCTAAAGGATGTGGGTGGACTTAAAGATTTTACCAATATGAAATGTTTCACCTGTATGAAGATGCACTCATAACTGCCTGGTGAGTCTCATCAACAAGCCCCCTTTAAGGCAAAGAATCTCAAATGTTAAGAATAAGGTATTTGGGAATATGGAGAAAAAAAATGCAACAAGAAGCTTTCTCTGAAAAAAAACAAAACACAACCAGGTGCCTCTGCCAGGGCCCTTTCACACTACACAATTATAACACTATAATTCTACTGTAACTGCCATGATAACATCCTGTGGGATCCTAGGATTTGTAGTCTAGTCAGACACTAGAATTCTCTATTGCAGAATTCATAAATTCTAAATTGGAGCCTTCCATAGGCAATTGCAGTTAAAGTGGAATTCTGGCACTGTTATTGTGGGGTGTGAAAATGTCCCAAAGAGCCCATAATGAAGAGAGGGCCTTTTGCTCTTACCCTCCAACCTGCCCTGAGCATTAACAGCCCTACAAAGCAACTGTCAAGAGTCACTGGCTACTACCTATTAGGAAATAGCATAGAAAGAACTTTTCTCAAGTCTGTTTAAGCTTCTTCTGAACATTGTGTAGCCAAACTTTGAAAATATTACACTAACTGCATAGAAAACTCACTTCTCTTGTCACACATGAGCATTTGATCAGGTTTTTGTTGTTTTTTGCTGAAAGAGACACCAGTCAATTTTTGCATTGTGGAAATTTATTACTACAAAACATACTAAAACAAAAATTAAGTGCATACTTATTAAATGGTCACGAATGCCATGTAAGTCACATGGGCTGGCTTTCAGAAGCAGCTAAGGATGCTGTCTTCTTTGGGAGAAGCTCGGCTTGGATGTTAGGCCGCACTCCTCCTTCTGCAATGGTCACATGGGCAAACAGCTTGTTCAGTTCGTCATCATTCCTCACCGCCAACTGGATATGCCGTGGTGCAATCCTCTGCCTCTTGTTTTCATGCGCAGCATTGCCTGCCAACTCCAGTATCTCTGCGGTCAGGTACTCTAGGACAGCTGTCAGGTACACAGAGGCACCGACACCTATCCGTTCAGCATAGTTGCCTTGCTTCAGATACCGGGCAACACGAGCCACAGAGAACTGCAAACCAGCGATTTTGCTCTTGGTTTTCTGGGTAGCAGCTAAGGGCTTTGATGGTTTCTTACCACGTGCTGACATGGTGACTCCTACAAACAAAGAAGACAATCTCCTTTTATTGCCACCATTTATTTGGTTTTGTCCCATACAGAAAATCTGGTTATAAAGCTGAGTAAATAAGTAAATGTCAAATACAATTTCATTATTTCTCACCCAGCCCAAGATAGCCTGTAAGAAATTGTAACTAAAAGAATGTATACCAGAGAATGATTTCAAGCCTGGTATTACATCTTTCCAGAGGTGATACACTACAACATCCATCACCTCCCAAGTTGGCTGGGTATAATAGGAGCTCAAAAATTACTCCCACCTAACTGAGGAAGGCCATGCTAGGTCTTCAAATTCTACAACTTTTTATAGTAGAGCAAATTCTGAGTACAGTCTCAATACCCTATGGCAAAAAATAATAATACTCTAGAAACACTTGCAGAGTTTTGACATTAAAACAATAATTTCAGTTAATAGAAAACCAAAAGGAAAACAGGAGTGGTATTATTTAAAACGACACTAGATGTGCCACAAGGCTCCCAGGTATTACTGAAGGTAGCTCTACCAAGAACACAACTTACTTCACTTGTAATCCTGGTTTTGCCCCACATGTAGCATTTGGTTTTTAAGAGAAAACTCCTATGTCACACACTCTCAGCCCAAGAATACTGTGTTAAGTTTGCCTTAGAGTCATCACAAGTTGTAAATGACATGAAGATGCACAAAACAACTACATGATGTTTACAAAGTGCAGGGGCCTTCCAAACACATCTCCTAACCCTCCCTGATCCAATGCAACATCCAAAGCCATGCAATATTTATATACCCATGCAGAAGTGATTTATTACATTGGCCCCTGAACCTTTTTTTTTCCGTGTCAGGAGATACTTAAGAAACCATAAGCTGTTTCTGGTGTGAGAGAATTGGCCATCTGCAAGGACATTGCCCAGGGGAAGCCCAGAAGTTAGATGTTTTTACCATCCTTGTGGGAGGCTACTCTTATGTCCCTGCATGGGGAGCTGGAGCTAACAGAGGGAGCTCATCCATGCTCTCCCCAGATTCGAACCTTCAACCTGTCAGTCTTCGGTCCTGCCAGCATAAGGGTTTAACCCATTGCACCAGCAGCAGCTCCATCCCTGAACCTTGAACAGTGCTAGTTATAGAGAAAAGTAAATGGGCAAGAGAAACTCTCAAAATACTGTGAAAACCTTAACCCACTGGCTATCTATAAAAAAGTGACTGACTGGTGTTTCTAGTTTATTGATAGGCTTATGTGTTTGCAATGTTTCATTAAAAATTGTTTATATTTCTCCAAAGCAAATTATAACATCTTTCATTGACATATACAACTTACTATTTAAGTTTTATATATTACAAACAACATTATAAACTAACAGTTGTTAAAGTACTATTGCATATAGCAAAACAACTCAACTCACCGTTAAATTTTTAATAGTTTTCTCTAGCCAGACAGCAAATTCTTACTGATTTGCAATCAATGGTGCCTCTTTTTAAGCCCTCCTAGTTAGACCTAAGGAGGTCCGCTCATTCACCTGCATCAATTTTCCCACTGAACTGTACTGGTTTCCCCTTGATTAATTAGGCTGCAAAACCCAACATGTTTTCTCTAGAGAAGTCTCATTATGACCAATGGGATTGTCTGTGTTTTACGACCTTGAGATAAGACACTTCCATTTTGAGAATGGCAATTTTATGGTTAAATATATTAAATACCTAAGGTGTTTCATTCAAGGTTGTTTCACATTCATATAGGATTTTATTTATACAATATCATCAGTGTACACCTTCACTTTAGTTTTCATTAGTTTTCTTATTATCTGAAAAAAGGATATATTTTCCCATTATTTTACAAGATCAGTTCAGTAGTGTGGGTTAATGGCAACCCATTGAAATTATAGGGTATCTTTAGAAAAGGAAAACTCAGTGATGGCTTTGTCAGTTCCTTTCTCTAAAGTATAGCCCACTGTTCACAATCTTCCATCCAGGATTGACCCTACTTAGCTTACAAGATCAGTCAGGATCCTCTGTGACAATCCAAATGACTAGATGTTGCTTTGCATTTCTTGGAGAGTGCTAGGTAATATTATTTGTATTTTAAAAAGCTATTCACATGAGTTTAGTATACAGTCTCACAATTGGGGGAGGTGGAGAAGATCCAAGTCTTACATTCATTATATTGCAATGGTGGTGCAGCAGCTTAAACCGCTGAGCTGCTGAACTTGCTGACTGAAAGTTTGGTGGATCGAATCTGGAGAGCAGGGTGAGCTCCCACTGTTAGGCCAGCTTCTGCCAACCTAGCAGTTCGAAAACATGCAAATGTGAGTAGATCAGTAGATCAATAGGTACTGCTCCAGCGGCAAGGTAATGGCGCTCCATGCAGTCATGCTGGCCACATGACCTTGGAGGCATCTATGGACAACGCTGGGTTAGAGCACCACCCCCCAGAGTCAAACACGACTAGAGTTAATATCAGGGGAAACCTTTACTTTTACTTACCTGGGGTTTTTTTTTTTGGGGGGGGTGGCTTCAGGTTGCCATTGAACCACAAACCTAACTGGGTAATTGGGTGACTTTTGGCCACACCATGCACTCTGTTTGATCCTAACTTACAGAACTGTTGTAGGGATAAAGTAGGAGGAAAAAAGTCATGCGCAGCTCATTAACAGAAAGGTGGGCTATACCCGCAAAACTACCTAATATCCTTCATCTATTTACAAAAGGCTTGGTAAAGAAGAAAGGCATTTTGCCAGGGCAACAAAATACAGATCTGAAGTAGCCACCACCTGCATCATGTTTTGAGATCTACAACCTCATGAGTAAGAGGTTAACAGCACTCACAATATTATTTTCTCACTTAGGTTTTAAACATCCTCATCCATTTTACTGAAGGGTATTTGAGGTGGGGGAGGGGATGGGGGCTGTGATGCTGCCAGGCTGTGTTGTAACTTTTGAGTTATCCTGTGAGTATCACATGCACGACTGGGTCAAGGGTGTAGCTACAAGGAGGACACAAAATGAGAGCATCTTTTTTCAGTCCTCAAATGTATAGCATTGCAGTAAATTTAAACTTCAACTGAGTATGTAGAGCCTGGAGAAAAAAAAATTACGTTTTTGAACAAAACTCCTAGAATCCCCTAACGCAGTGCTACTCAGAATGTGGATAGGGGCTGGACTCTGAGCCAATGGCTACTCATTCCTAGCAAGTTCCTACAAAGGAAAGAAAGACTTGTAGTCAAATGGAAACAGTTGTGCACCAGTTCTTGGTTTCTGTTAACTATGTAAAGCCAAACGTCAACTTACAATCACCCTATGAATGTGTGAATGAGAGACAGACACAAACACACAGTCATCAACAGCCCTGATCAGGTCTTGCAGACTCAGGGCCATCTTGTATGTGATTTTCCTTTTTTTCTGCTTCCTTCTGTCTTACCAAGCATTATTGCCTTTTCTAGAGAGTATTGTGGGATTTTCCGCCTTGGTATTCTGGATTACATGGTTGTGTGGAAGGGTCCATGGTTTCTAGGAATTGTTTAGATTTAATTTGGGCAAGGACCCATTGAGTTTTCTTTTTAGCAGTCCATAGTATCCTCAAAAAGCTTTTTTCACTGTCCAGTTTTCCCAGTGACACATAGAAATGGGAAATACGATGGCATGGACCACCCTAACTTTAATCTTCAACTATGTATCTTCAACCATTCACAATCGTGTCCAGTTCCTTCATGGCTGCCTTTCCAAGTCCTACTCTTCCTCTTACTTCTTGACTGGAGTTCCCACTCTGATTAATGACTAAGCCAAAGGCTGGAAAATCTAAAACAAATTCAATGTACTCATCCCAACTTTATGTAAATAATCTGTGGTGCAGCAGGTTAAACAGCTAAACTGTAGAATTTACTTACCAGAAGGTCTGTGGTTCGAATCCGCGGACAGGCTGAGCTCCCATTGTTAGCCCCAGCTTCTGCCAACCTAGCAAATTAAAGAATCTGCAAATGTGAGTAGATCAATAGGTACCGCTATGGCGGGAAGGTAACAGCACTCCATGCAGTCATGCCTGCCACATGACCTAGGAGGTGTCTACGGACAACACCGGCTCTTCAACTTAGAAATTGAGATGAGCACCCCCCCCCCCCCCCCCCCCCCCCCAGAGTAAGACACAAATAGACTTAATGTCAAGGGAAACCTTTACCTTTAGTCAGTGCTTGGAACTAGGCAACACTGGTGACCAGGGCCTGAATCTCCTTTTGACGATGGAAACCCACTGGGTAACTTTTGGCAAAGTCACATTCTTTCAACCGCAGAGGAAGGCAAACTACTACCAAACAAACAATGCCATAATGCTATAAATTGGACCTTAAGGCACACAAAGTGATACAGAGTCTTTATTTTGTTTCCTTTATGTTTCAACTCCAAACAATGAACAAAATCTGGCTGCCAGTATTTAGAAACTCTAAAATCAGGATAATACATACATACATAATACAAGACTCAAAAAGCAGGGGAGTTCAGGAGAAGAATCAATCATGGCCAGCAGGGCCGTAGCCAGAAAAATTTTTTGGGAAGGGTTGAAATTTTCGGGGGGGGGGGGGGGGGGGGGGGTTGAAACCTGCCTCCTAGCTCACGCTGAATCAAAAAGCACAGCAGGGGGCAGAACAGTCTTCCATAGCCTGCAGCTCTGCCTCTGTCAACCACCTCCACCAAGTCTGGCCTCCTTAATGAGAGCATTCAACACACCCCCAACTTGGTTGCTTCACTACATCGGCTATTGCTGCAAGTAATGACAGTGTGAATAAATTGTCAATATTTGCCTGAGACAGTGCTTGCAGTTCTGGAGGGACTCTTAATTTTTTGCATCTCATAGCATGGGAATTTGGTTAACCAGTTAAAATTCATGAGTAAACCAGGTTTTTTTTAACCTGAAAATTTTCAGGGGGGGGGGTTGAACCCCTAAAACCACCCCCTCACTACAGGCCTGATGGCCAGCAAACACCTCCCAACAGAGGATTCCCCAGGCAGGAATCAGCCAGCCTTTGAAGCTGCAAAGGCATTAAATTCTAATCAAGGTGGTAAATTGCAACATTCACACGTACCTCTAGCACAGTAGTTCTCAACCTTCCTAATGCCACGGCCCCTTAATACAGTTCCTCATGTTGTGGTGACCCCCAACCATAAAATTATTCTTGCTGCTCCTTCATAACTGTAATTTTGCTACTGTTTAGTTTTGGAGTTCACTTACATCCAGGGAACACTGTGGACTCAAACAATGATAGATCTAGACCAAACTTGGCATGAATATTCAATATGCCCAAATGTGATCATTGGTGGAGTTTGGGGGAATAGACCTTAACATTTGGGAGTTGTAGTTGCTGGGATTTATAGTTCACCTACAATCAAAGAGCATTCTGAACTCTGCCAACAATAGAATTGGGCCGAACTCCCACACAGAACCCTCACAACCAACAGAAAATACTGTGTTTTCCGATGGTCTTTGGCGACCCCTCTGACACCCCCCTCATGACCCCTCCCCCCCAGGGATCCCGACCCCCAGATTGAGAAACACTGCTCTAGGAAATAAGGGTTATTTTCCCCCACCTTGGACATGCCACAAAAATATAAACCTCATTAGCCATCCCCTGCCACGCGTTGCTGTGGCCCAGTCTGTGTATATGTGCTACCTGTGTGTATTTGTATGTGTATATAATTGTGTATATGTGTATATATGTGTGTTTGCATATATATATATGTGGTTTTGTGCATGCTTGTAATGTATTTTTATATTTTTTGGCCTTTTAAGTCTCTTCTACTGTGTTTTTCAGTGTTTATATGAGTGATGGTCACTTGCTGGCCTGATACATGGATTGTATCCAAATTTGGTATCAATTCGTCCAATGGTTTTTGGGTTATGTTAATCCCACAAATGAACATTACATTTTTATTGATATAGATTTACTTAGTTTCCAACAGACCTTTTTCCAGGGTCTTTATTGTTATTGTGAAGTATCAATATAGATCAGGTATGGGCCAACTTGGGCCCTCCCTCCAGGTGTTTTGGACTTCAACGCCCACCATTCCTAACAGCCTCAGGCCCCTTCCTTTTCCCCCTCAGGCCTGAGTCTGTTAGGAATGTGGAGTTGGAAGTCCAAAACACCTGGAGGGGGGCTCAAGTTGGCCCATGCCTGATCTATATTTATACTACACAATAACAATAAAGATCCTGGAAAAGGTCTGTTGGGAAACTCAAAGATGCTGTAGGTGATATTTCAAAGGAAGGGGGAGCAATGAATATCGGGAGGGGGGCGCTGAGCATGCCTCTCCCATATCATGGAATTCAGGCGCAGGCTGAACTTCCTCCTGGCCAGCCTGGGCTCCGCCTTTGGCCTCGCCTCGCGCCGCCTCCCTGGAAGTGCCCGGATGAGTCCTAATACGGGCAATTCAGGAAGCTGCGCGCGAGCTCTCCCTGAAGGCAGCTCGCGACCGCTAGGAAAGTGGCCTGTGTCCGAGGATCCCTTCCTTTCCTCTCCGGTTGAGCCCCTCCTTCCACACCCAGAATGCAGGTGAGCCGTGGTAAAGTGAAGGGCCTGGAGGGACCTATATATGCCGGGGAACGTGGCGCGCGACAGAGTTTGGTGGCAAAAGCAAGGGAGGGAAACCCGGAAGACCCTCCCTTGGCCCACGCGCTTTCTGCTTCCCCGATTGGGTGTCACGTGATCGCTCTCCCCTCTGCAAAATGTCACCCTTTTTAAAAAAATCCCTCGCCTCTCAAGCGTCCATTTCGATATAATTAAGCATTTATTTATTTAGTTATTATTTACAATATTTATATTCCGCCCTTTTCACCCCGCAGGGGAACTCAGGGCGGATTACAATGTACATATTACATGGCCAACATTCATTGCCATAAGACACACAACATATATAGACAGGCACTCAGAGGCTATTTAACAATCCAGCATTTTCATGAGGGTATTCTGGCCACCAGGGGAGCTGTCACTTCACCGTCCATTTGTGACACTGATGAAGTATGTCCTCATTCTTTGCATGCTTGCTGGAGACGTTTATGGCCTCGTAACCATAAGAAAGTCATAGACACATATACCCATGGTTTTCCCTAAGCTTTCAATCAGAAGCGCTGCTTTTTACCACATTGTCTCTTTGAGATGACACAATAGCTGTGGGTGACACAGCCTTCTTAGTCATGGCCCCACTTTGCCAGGCATAATCTAGATAGGGGTGGCTAGAAGTGCGGTCTTCCTAATATTGTTAGACAGTGTTGGTTCCCTTAGCCAACCATGGGAGATGCACTTCATTCATCTCTGCAGTACCATAGTCACGAGGCTTCATTGTGTATACTGTACAACACAACATCCTAATCTGGAGAACAAATATACATGGCTTCATTTATTCACAGTTTCACTTAAATACCCTTCATCAATAATCCCATTGAAAATAATTGAGTTCACTATAACACCACATGTCTATGCAAAATCTGTGAATGCATCCCTGCAGATACAGGGGTTGTTTTGTATTCTGAAATACCAAATAATTTGCTGCTTATGGTAATTCCATACATTTTCACCCTGCAATTTTTTCATTGTTATTGCTTTAATTTCTGCAGTTTTTCCCCCCACATAGCTATTTGATTTATGTAAGCAGAATTTTTCTTCCAGTTCATCAGTAGAACATGGAATAAAGATTGTTATTGTTTACCTTGAAGTAAGTTCCACTCATTTCAAGAATGCTTACTCCCAGATTGATGTACACAGAGAATCATGCCCTTACTTACTTACTTACTTACTTCTTTATTACATTTATATACTGCTTTTCTCCCCCTAAGGGCACTCAAAGCGGTTTCCAACATTATAAAGGCAAAATGCAATGCCGTACATACATGTGACAACCAAAAGATAATAGCAAAACAATAGCAAAGAACTATAAATTAACCTAACCAAATTAAAACATCAACAGAAAAGAACATTTAGACATAAAGCATAAAAACTAAACATAGATAATGACATTTATATTAAAACTCACTGATAAACAACACAATTTTTTAAAATCACGCCATCCAAAATCAAGTCCATAGTCGTTCCATTGATCCGTTCACTATTCCTTATTTCACTACGAGCTTGCGATTTGAAATCTTGGTCACATAACCATGTTTTTACTTTCTTCCTGAATGTCAGGAGGGAGGGGGCTGATCTAATTTAGCTAGGGAGGGAGTTCCATAGCTGAGGGGCCACCACTGAGAAGGCCCTGTCTCTTGTCCCCACCAACCGCACCTGCGAAGAAGGAAAGACCGAGAGCGGGGCCTCCCCATAAGATCTTAATCTCATGTACATTTTATGCAATATATTTGAGAATACCTAACAGTAATGTTTGTACTGTTAAACACTCTTGGTTCTTATCATAGTTGAATGCATAGGATTACAGGCCCAGTTGGAATATCCTGTGCAGGGATCTGTTTGGCTGGCATGATCTCTGTAATCTAAAACATGTATTACATTGTATTGACAAGTTGTAATGTGTCCAGAGGAGGGCGACTAAAATGATCAAGGGTCTGGAGAACAAGCCCTATGAGGAGCGGCTTA